TTCCTTTTGGCCCAGCCCTGTCCACATATCTCACACCACTCTGTCCCTGACAGCTAACCTCCTTACCTCTCATAAAGGAGGGCTGAGACCTCCCTGATGGATTTGCCTCCACCTTTCTCAATGAACAGATTTGGCCATCCTTGCTTCTATTCCTACCTGGACTTCAGCTAAAGCAGGAATCCATTTCACTGAAGTTGTTCACAATTTCAGCAGAGGCTCTCTCATACAACATATTAATGTAGGAGGCTTCTTTCTAAGATTACAAAAAGACCTACAAACTCTAAGACCAGGACAAAGACCTATCAAGGGACCATTCCAGACAGGCTTATCCTTAGTCTTTCAGGCTCCTCCTTGTACCCACCACCCATCCTTTCCTAACAGCAAGCCTTTAGGTACTCTCCATCTCTCAAACTGTCAGTCTACCATGAATCTAGGGATACCCTCTAACTACAGAACATTAACCACTTCCACAACATCCCAAAACACCTGGTCCACTGACATCTGGCCTTCCTCTAGTAAATCTCCACCAGAAGCTTTTCATACTGCTCAGGATGGGGACAGAGACCAAACTCATCTACCTTTAACTCAAATGTTTTTGGGCCCCCAACACAACATCATAATAGACTTGTCACTCGATCACTGCAAAGAATTTCATCCAACACTTTTGACAGTAGCACTTTAGCCATCCTTTCTGAAGTCACTTATGCAGTCCCCCCACAAACAGCCAGTTTAGGACCTTTTTTGGATGCTGGAGCACTATGCTTTAGTCTCTATGTTTGGAAGAAATCCGCTTTATACCCAAAATGATTTAAAACACCTTTTCTTCCCTCTATCAACCTTCTAACTCACTCCTTGCATTGACAATCCAGAAGGAGCCTTTTACATTTGTGGATAATCAGCTTATACCTGTCTGCTCAGAAACTGGGCTGGCACCTGCATATTAGCTTACTCTCTCTCCAACCATTAATTTCACTATCCTAGACACCCTCCTTCCTCTCCCTGTCATCCCACACACAAAGGCAGAGAGGGTAATATAACTCATCCCCATAGTCAGTGCCCTAGGCATTCTTGCAGGTGTAGGATTATTAGTCACTGGCCTGGGAGTCACCCTAGATGAATTTTTAAAATTCTCAAAATAATTTTCTGCCAGCCTAAAAGAAATGCCAGACTAAGCCCTTTGCCCCCAAATCTTATCAAGATTTAGAGCCAGGAATGAGGGAGGCAGACTTCTGCAAGATGGCAATGGCGACCTAAGGGCAGAGTGGTACCCAACGCAGGGCCCTTTTTGCAGTACTTGAATTTTAATTTGTAGGGGGGGAGCAATTTCTCAGAGATTAGCCAAGTAGTCCTAAACTCTACCCCAAATGGGCTTTTGCGCCTCAGCAGGCTTAACTCTGCCCCAAACGGGCTTTGCCACCTTGGCTGGCTATACAAACCACTAGGTTATAAGAGAAGCTGCCTTTCGACCCAGACTGAACACCTTTCCCAAGTTTATCTGAATAAACCTGTCTTGATCATTGAGACACACTCTCTGCATCTGTCCTCTCCTTATACCAACATATAAAAATTGTGTCATATCAGCAAAGGACACACAAAAATTGAATACAATACCATTTAAAATAACTCAAAAATAAAATATTTAACTATAAACCTGGTAATGTGATGCCTCCAGATTTGTATTTATTTCTTAGAATTACAGTGCCTATTTGGGGTTTGTTTTGGTTCCATACAAAACAAAGAACTATTTTTTTCAAGTTCTTTGAAGTACAAAGTTGGTGCATTCATTGTGATTGTAGATTGCTTTGAGTAGCAAGTCCAGAGTGATCAAAACACCACTGGCATAAAAAACAGTTTTGGCATAAAAAAGACATAGACAAATGGAATAGAATAGAGAACTTAAAGAGATGAAACCAGCCTCAAATTGCTACCACTGGGAAAGTGAATCCCTATTAAACAAATGGTGCCAGGAGAAGTGGTTAGTCATATGTAAGACTGAAACTGGACCTCCACCTCACTCCACTTACAAAAATTTACACACACTGCATTGGATAACTCACACTCTAGGAGAATGTGTGATATCAACATGGGGAAAGATGTTCTGAAGAAGACCCAATTGGCAATTGCAGCAACAACAAAAATAAATATATGAGACCTGATCAAGCCAAAAAGATTTTGCACAGTTCAGGATACAATCAACAAAACAAACTGACAACTTCCTGAATGGGAGAAGATATCTGCATGTTATGAATCTGACAAAAGGTTAATAACCAGAATTTACAAAGTCCTGTAGTAAATCAACAAAGAAATAACAAATAACCCCATTAATCATTGAGCAAAAGATTATGAACAGTACCTTCCAGGAAGATAGATGAATGGTCAACAAACACATGAAAAAATATTCATCAAACCTAATCATCAGAGAAATGCAAACTAAAATCACCTTGAGATATTTCCTAACCCCAGTAAGATTAGCATACATCACAAAGTCCCAAAGCTACAGATTCTGGTGTGGGTGCAGAGAGAAGTGACTGCAAACTAATACATCTTCTTTGGAAAGAGTATGGAGAATCCACAAAGAACTAAAAGTAGACTTCCCATTTGATCCTGTAATCCCATTGGTAGTTATCTACCTAGAAGAAAACAAAATCATTTTATCACAAAAATATCTGCACTCAAAGTATACAGCAGCTCCATTCACAATTATAAAGATGTAGAAATGACCCAACTGCCCATGAACGACACATGAATGGATTAAGAAACTATAGTATATGTATACCATGGAATACTATTCAGCCACAAAAAGATAGAGACTTTATATCTTTTGTATTTACCTGGATGTAGCTGAAGAACATTTTCCTCAGTAAAGTATCTCAAGAATGGAAAAGCAAGCATCCCATGTACTCAATACTAATTTGAAACTAGCACACGAACAACTACAGGCCTACCTGAGAGAAAAATACAATTAAATTCAGTAAGGGGGGAGGGAAAGGGATTTGGTGGGCTCCAACCTATCGGGTACAATGTAGGGGTATAACGTACATCTCTTGGGTGAAAGATTCAAGTACAACTGGTACCACAGTACCCTTTTATTAATGAGAAAGAAAGAAAGAAAGAAAGAAAGAAAGAAAGAAAGAAAGAAAGAAAGAAAGAAAAGAAAAAGAAAAAGAAAAAAGATTGGAAACAGACTAACAAAAAAAGGTATAAATCTAAAAAAACATATACAGAACTTCTAAGTAGAAAGTTATCAAACAATAGTGAAAAAGATCAAAGAAGATATCACATTTGTGGATTGGAAAATTCAACATAGTAAAGATGTCAATCCTCCTCAAATTGGTATGTAAGTTTAACACAATTCCAATCCAAATCCTGGCAAGAATTTTTTTTTTTTTGGTAGATGATGCAAATTGTTATACAATTTATATGGAAAGAAACAAAAACAATTTGAAAAATAAGAAAAAATTGGAGAGGATTCACTTTACCAGATTTTAAGACTTACAAAACTACAGTAATAAAGGCTATATGGTATTGACTGAAGGATGGACACATACATGAATGGAACAGAAGAGAAAACCCAGAAATGGACCCATACAATATCTAGCTGACTTTTTACAAAATTGCAAACATAATTCAATGCAGAAAAGACAGTTGTTTCACCAAATAGTGCTGGGACACTGTTAGTAAGGAGATAAAAACTGATTAACATATTAAAATTAGTCATCAAGAAAATGCAAATTAAGCCACAATGCCATACCACTATAAACTTGCTAGAATGGATAAAATTAAAAGACTAGTCACAATGAATGTTGGCAAAGATCGGGAGCAACTGGAACTCTCATACGCTGCTGGCTGGAATATAAAATGGTACAACGACTTTGGAAAACAGTTGGCCAGTTTCTTGTAAGGTTGTAAGTATATATGTATCTACAATATAATCCAGCAACTCTACTCTTACATATTTATAAAAGAGAAATGATAACATAGGTCTATGGAGAGAGTTTTAAAGAAATATTCATAGCAGCTTTATTTATAATACATTTGTAATGGAAACAACTTAAATATCTATCAATGGTGAATATATAAACAAATCAGGGTATATCCATACAATGGAATGTTACTCAGCAACAAAACAGATAAATTACTTATGCGTGCAACATGGATGAATCTCAAAATAATTTTGTTGAATGAAAGCGGACAGATATTTTATGATTCCATTGATAAAAAAGGGATGATGTATATTTAACTAAATGAAAAGTTGGTTGTGATGATCAAATAAAAGAATATTAGATTATGTACCATGAGAGATTACCAATATATTATACAAATAGGTTTTTATTGAGAATATTTTCAACAGAGCCATATATGACTTTCCTTATAGGTAATATTTATTGAGCTTTTATTATGTGTTGGTTTGGGGCTATTTATTCAAATCTCACCAACAACCCCGTGGGATAGGTACTATTAGTATCAATTTTGTATATGAAACTGAAACCTAAAGCAGAGAAGCAATTTGGTCTAAGGAAAGAGCGTAGCAGTAAGAATTGGAGACCTGAATGTCAAGTTGTGGCTCTTGGGGCTGTGGGAAACATCCTTAGCCCTTTTCTCCCTATTACCAAATACAACAACTCAGCTTAATGACAAACCTCTTGTGATGAAGTGAGATAATGTAAAACTACGTTACGACCTTAATGTTATTCTGTCAGAAAGTGCATAAACACGAACATTGTTGGAAAAGTAAGATAAAGTAGTAGGAAAGACAAAACAACACTATGCGAAGTCCTTTCAGGTTTTCTCACTGTCCTTATTCAGCTTTAAATACCTTATTTTTTAAAATTTTAATGTTTAAGTACTTAAAAGATTCCAAATATTTACAGAAATGTGTCAGAAAAATGTCTTAATGTTTTCCATTA